TTATTGAAATACGATTTCATATTTTTGTTCCTATGCGTAACAAGCAATGGATAATGAATTATGTTACATGATATATTGGTTGCTTTTACTTATACTCACATACTCATATTTATGACCGACTTCCCAAAAGAAGGAGGTAATCAATTCGTCCGTATGTTTTTTTTGTGTGTTACGGCATAACCCCGCCGCTAGTGGACCGATTTTCATAATTCTTTTTTTTATCCGAAAGGTAATGCTTGCAGGTGGGTCCCATTTTTTTGATTGATTTTTTACGTATTAAATTTGTACGATTATATACACCAAAGACACAAAGTGTTCTTCGTCTAATTAGCATTAACATTGTGCTGTTGGTTGCCGAACATAATCTTTGTCTATGGTAAAATTGTGAGGGAGCATATTTACACCCTATATTTTCATCACTATACTTTAACAAATGGTGACGGAGATAGACATTTTTTGTAGACACAGCAATGATTCCGAAAGCTTCCTAACAATTGTCCTGCATAAATAGATAGGCGATTGTTTGGAAATAACAGCTTTTGTTTCGTTTAGATTGAAAAGCTCCTTTAGATGGTAATGGCAGGTAGGACTATCATAATATATTATTTTGTCAGAAACCTCATCGCCGTGTTCTATCGCTATTATCAGCAAAAAAATATAATAGACACAAAAATATACAGTTTATAGCCTGTCCATTTTTAAAGGTCAGTGTTCTTTACTAAATTTCAAACTCATCTCATTTGTTCGTTAACTAGAATAGGTGTGGGCGGACCGTGATATATCGTGACGAGTGAATGAATGAATGATAGTAAAACATTTCTGATCTATCAACTTCATGTGTAATCGTAGTCACAGAACATCCTGTTTTGATGAGACTATAAAATAAACCTGGGAAGGTATAAAAATACGTGTTACAGTTGTTATAGTCACGTCACGTAGTGGGTAGCTGACTCTCGTAGTTAGTTGTTTATGTTGTGTGAATTATGAACTTGTCTGCATCTTCGGATCACTGCAACTTTCAATATGAGATATCACTTTGGTGTTGGAACTATTCATACAAATATTACAGATGGACAGATGTAGTATATTCAAGGTATGCAAGTTATAGAACACAATCTGAATGAACAAAGGATAATTAACTTATTTTAATTCCTCGCGAACATAGTCTTGATAAAAACCTATTCTATTATTGTGTTATATGTTTTAAACGCCAACGGTTATATGTTGCGGTCACTGTACATTAGTGTTACTTTGGGAGTTGATGGTGTTGCAAATCATTAAAAATTAATAAGCGTAATTTTAAGTCAGTTTTAAAGCTCTATCAAATGTGTTGTTTGGCTTTATTGAACAACTAGCTGTTCCCGTGCGGCTTCATTCGCTTGAAATAATATAAAAAATATTTTATTGTTTACATTTCTCAAATTCTCAATTATCATTATCAAATATCAAAACTACCGTTACCATAATAGCATTGCTTCCTTAATGTTGGCAGCTAGTAGCTTATGGCCCCTTTCCCACATGAAGGTTTTTTCAAATTTTTTTACCCTCTAAGTTTAATAGAGTAAAAATGTATAACCAAAAGCGTGTCGAAGTATAGGGCTTTTAATTAAAGAAAGAATTATTAAAAAATAAGCTGTGATTGCTGACATCTTACGCCACAAAGTAGTGTGTGTTCACGCTTTATTATATTAGTATAGAAGTATAGATTGTCGTGTTAAATCGTATAGCAGCTTCGCAAAACAAACGACAATGTAACCGGTGCCTCGAACTTGCAGTTTATCTTTTCTGTCGTCTAAAAGATTTTATGGGAAAGTAACTCCCTTGCCAGAGTTCTTTGTTGCTCTGCAGTTTGTTATTTTGCTGCATTCGTAGCAATTTGGCTTAAGCATACCATTTTAAATGTTTTATTATAGCATTCATTTCTCTTGGTGACTATATTAAAGTTGAAATTGACATTTTTTTAAATAAATAAGACGGGAATATTCCAAATATATTTCTCACTTAACTAAATTAACTGTTAAATTTCCATCATTTAAATTATTTTATTTTTACTGTATTATATCTTTGAGTATGAGGTTTAGAAATTAATGGTTTTATTTCAATTATGAGAATAACCCTTTTCAGTTGGAATTTGAAAAACTTTACAAATCCAGTCTATTGCATGTATTAAAGTTTTTCAATCTGAGACTATTTTTTATAATTCAAAACTTTCAATAAAGAGCTACGTAATAGTTTCATTCTTAGATAAGAGATTAAATTAGACCATTATAGGTACAAAAGTAATAAAGTTGCTTTTCTATCAGTTCGAATCTTTTCTAATCTCGTCTCGTGAATTGAATGTGCGGTTGAGGTGATGGCTGGAGCTATGTCAATTTAAATGGCTTTGCGGGCCGGCTGTACGGGATGTCCGTCGCTCGCAGTACTGTCTGACCTGCCTCTGACTACAGAGGATTAAAACATACCACAATCCACTGTCAAAGCTCGAATACATTTTTAATTGGAATCTTTATCTACAAATAATACACGAGACATTTTAAATTAGAAAATGTTGACTTTAAAATGATACTTTGATCAAATTACTTTTTTATTTCATTGAAATTACTTAAAGCTGAATGGTAAAAATTTATGTCAATTACTTAAGTACTATACAAGTTTATCTTGTTATATTTCCAGCTACATATATCGCAAGTATAACTTGCCAACTTGAGTAGAAAAATATAACTTTTACAGCTTAATAACAGTATGAATCAAAATCGAGAAAAGGATACTCCGTGTTCGATAAGTTCTGCATTAGTGTCGACTTATTGCGGTAGTAAAATATACAATAAGATCTTTGAGAATCATTTTACGAGGACTGTAAATCGTATATGTGTAGAAAATGGTAAAGGCGCTGTGAGGTAGTTCCTTTATTCATGCGGGTATTGTGTGCACCGCGGAGGTAATATCGCTACAAACCTTCTTGTTACGTATCAACGCGCTCTATTGTTTTCTTTTATTAAAATCGCAGAAGATCGTACACCGCTTTATTGAATAGAAATCGCTACTGATATTTATATTGGGTTTCAAGTTTATACCTAATTTTGGTATTGTTCAGTGTAGCGTAGTCTGGTAAATTATATTTGCTGAAGAACACATTTTTGTATCCAAATATTAAACTAATTAAAGACGTCTCAACTCACGTTTGATTTTCCGGTGACGACACCGACTAGTTTCAGACCCATCGGAGGTCCATCTTCAGGGCAAGTATTAGTTTTCTTTCTTCGCGGTCGCGTCGCGTTCACTGAGAGTCAAGCAAGCTCAAACGTGATCGAGCCGTCTTTATTTAATAATATCTCACTAAAGTTTAATCAATCCAAATATTACTTTACAAACCAGATATATAACTTAAATTATTTAAACTTTCGTGAGACATTTTATAATTAATTATTTAACGTCGTCAATATTGAGCTAGTCGACATCGTCGCCGCCGGCGCACCCGCCCCATCTAGCCGCGCCCTTCCAGCGATGGCCCGCAGTGCGAGGCGCGATGCGACCGCGATACATCTTTAACCCTCGCTCTGAAGAAGGACCCCCGCAGGGTTTGAAACTGATCGGTGCCGTCACCGGAAAAAGTATGACGTTTAATAATTTTTTACAGATATATAACATTAGTAAATTGTAACAATTGAATACATCAGTTAAAAATAGAAAACTTATTATTTTTTTAGGAATATAGGACAATTTCTTTTTATTTCTTATATCATAGTTATAATTACAATTAATTGGCAAAGTAAAGTATGCTTACAAGTTTTTGGCAATTGATTCCATCATCGGTTGTTACGTCTAGTTCATTTAGCTCAGTAAAACTTCACACCGCATTAAGTCCTGACAAAGTTCTTGGCTGACGGCCATACAGCTTCCCAGAACACGAGGATCCAGTTTTTTAAATTGCATATTCAAATATTCATGCTTTTCGAGGAAAAATGAGCAGTCTTTTGTCAACACAAATTCGTAGTTTAATTAAAAATATAAAGTGACGTTGTTCGGATACTAAAAGGAACTTGTCGCAGAAGTGTCCTATTCTGTTTTGATTTTAAAATATAATGATTCCATAAGTGTTCTTAGTGCCTTTTCTGTTAGTACTTTTTATTATCTGACGTAACAGTATTCATTAAAAATCGGAAAATTTAAACTTCAAATACATAATAACGACGTAATATGTAAGCATTATGTTTTCCTGTAGCAGTTACATCGATATAGTGCCGTGTAGTAAAGGCGAATACCGCGTCGCTACACGACCGTGGTCCGGCCACCGACAAACACTGCCAGTTTTAGCCAGAACATCAAGCCCTGGCTTGTACTTACTAAAATTTTATGTATCATATGTACTGTATCTTACTAATATTATAAATGTGAAAGGTTAGATGGATGGATGGATGGATGTTGGTAGCCTAAATGGCAGAACGGATCTCGGATAGTGTGGAAGAACTATTGTTGTTTTTTTTTAATTCCACGCGGACGGAGTATCGGGCGAAAGCTAGTGATTTTTTAAAAAGAAGCAATTTCATCCCATTGCGTTATTACTTTATAGCATTTTAACGCTGCTATAATAAAATACGAATAGATATAACATTTAAATGAAGAAAATAACAGTTTGATACAAATAGGTTAAAGCAGTAGTTTGCGGGCGGTCGGAAATCCATTAAGGTTATAATAGATAAACGGATATGATAAGCGTTTTGATTATTCAAGTATATAATAAATAGATAGATTACGCCATGATTGCTACCAATAAATTCCTTACAAAACTTAATAAGGTCATAAAAATAAAACTTCTTTTTTGGTGGTAAATATTTCGGTTTGTGAAAAAAATCAAAAGAAGAATATTAAAAGAAAACTAATTACACAATATTGAGTCAGCGTCAAATAATTAAACAAGCAAAAAGATTTGTTAATATCAAAAACTAAAAAGTAATAATGAGAACTATAAATTACTGAAAAGAACGACAAAACACAGAAGACCAAAGATATACATCGAAATTTCATTTCTAAAAATTACAACTGGTACTTAATTTTTTTTCATTTTAACTACAGCACAAACTATATAAAGGACAATAAGAGCAAAAAGTGCAGTAAGTGAAACAAATACTGGCTGAGATTGTAGGTATTGAGCGCCAAAGACATTAGCACTGGACGACGCTAGATGGCGTGCGCCGCCGTTACGAATCACACTTTCAGACCACCATAGAGCGCGGTCAGGAGGTTTTTGTGTTCGCTGGAACATCAATTTACGCAACGTTACAATATTTTTCCGATATCTGTAACAAAACACATATCTTCATCATCCTGCTCTTGTCTATAGGGGTCGGCACAGGATGTACTTGTTCCACATCACTATTAGCTCTCATATCTCAATCCTTGAACATGCACCTTTTGAAACAATCCATCCATATTTCCTTCGATCTTCCTATGCAGTTGTCCACATTCAATCTCACATTTAATTTAAGCATTAAATGAATATGAATTTTTTATATGTAAAAGACTGAATTTTGTACCTGTTGTCATTAAGTAAGGTTTTTATCGCTGTATCAAACTTTTCTTCTGTCAGTGAATTTATGTCAAGCCTTGGATCGTTTTTATGATGTAGATATTTATCAGATTTACACCACTGCTCACCCAAAATCGGCATCCTAATGAACGGTTCTCCGGCACTCATTATTACGACTATTTATAGCAAAGCTACGAATAATTTTATGCTATGATGTACTGAAATCAAATAGTCATAATTATTTTTGTCGATGTCAAGAACATTGTAAAAGCCTCAAATGTCCTTAGGGATAAAACGGTAATAATTACTTTAACATGAGTTAATTTATAATTTTCCTTTAAGTTAACAAATTCGCGAGTAAAGATCTGTTTTAGTAACCATTTAATGTTTCTGAGTGCAGCAAATCAACTAAAAACCGTACATACCTATTGAGTTAAACTGTGTTACTTATTTAACTATTTTTATAACATTTGAACGTCTACGAAGGCATCGTTTTCTAATTTCCATAAAAATGATGCGACAGTGGTGTGAAACTTTTTAAAATGACATATTTTCAAAGTCATTTTGACGTAGACATTTCTCCAAAGTAAATGACATTTTCGAAAGAGTCTAAATAAAGAGGTTGTTTTGGATAATTATTATTTCAAGGTATTTAAATTGAAATCAAGCAACAAATTAGAAAAAATATTTTACTAAACAACAATGTATTGTAAAACTTTCTTGTAGCCTTTTAAACTTAAGTTTATTTCTCTGTAGAAGTGAGTTCAGGGTTCGAGCAAATGTCGTAGGTCGTAGCAATGCTACGAATCGTACTACGACGAGTACTTTCGATCTACTTGTAGTACTCGAACGAAAGTATTACTAATTAAATAAAATTAAATTTAATTATGCTGTGTTTCTAAAGTGTCCATATATTATATCGTTACCTAGTGATTCATAAGTGTTAGGTTGAACTGAGTTTCAAAGGAGTAAAACTCAAGCTACGTCGTTCGTAAACTCATTTCACGAAGTTATGAAACCAATAACACTAACGAATTTTTAACAGTAACTAGGAACCCGGCCATAAGAAGCCTAATTTTATAATTAAAGCAAAACTACATTAGTTTCAATCTGAGGTGTATATTACTTTAAACTAAGTCGGAGGTGATGGCTGCAAATAACTTCGTTGTTAATAATGGTTATTGAATTAGCGCAGTTTAGATGAAAGTAGGTTACGGAAGCACCCGACAAACAATGTTTTCAAACTCGCTAAACAATTCCAGTTCTAAATATGCGTTAAGTATAGCTCCGTGTGGGTGTACAATACATACTTTGATGAACATTTGAATACATATTTATAACAATGTTTCAAAGATAGAAGTTAATAACTTTCAATAGAAAATTCCATTAAATGTTTTTAGTTCAATTTGATTTTTAATAGAATATTTTAACAGTTTGGTGAAATTGACACTTTCCAATAAGCGGTATTACTTGGAAATTTATTAAATCGGCATTTCCAATTTTCGAAAAAATAGGTTATATCCTGATTTTATAGTTTTCATAATAAAATAAAAAATCTAACATTAAGTGCATCAACCATTTTTTAAAACAATTGTGCTTTTTCAAACACTTGTTATAAAAAGTTATTTAGAAGTATCAGTTACTTTTTTATAAATTCAAGAGTGGATTTGAAAAAATTTTCCACACACATTAGGAATTTTTATTCTCGCATTCTCATAAAGGTACAGTAATGTGTCTGACAATGTTCCATTTGTAAAATGAAGCTATACGTGTAACCTGGGGACTCATAAACGTGGGAATTCGAAATTGCATTTGATTAAAATATGTGGCGAAACGGATGTCATTTAGTAAAGCTTTTACATTTTATCGAACGAAGCTTTTACTTAAAATTATCATGAAAAGTGTTAAGAATTATTATAGTTTATAAATTTGGAGGTTTGTAGATTTTATGCGACTTTCTTCTTTTATCCTTCGCTTAATTTAAAATTTACAAGTTTACATTCAATTACGTAGCTATTTATGAATACTAATATTAACGAACATTTAATTTTAAATATATCATAACCTCAGCTCACGGTTAGTGAAGCTCAATGACATTCCAGTCTTGCAGCTAAGTTATATCTAAGTGCGTGTTAAGTTCAACATATTTCATATTTATAGATGAAACGGATGGATGTAAGCAATGACTCCGACATAGATAGAAGTGGTTTCCTTTTATCTGTCAGATGTGTGGGGATATTAAATCAAATGCGTTTGACGGGCCACCCGGCTATGTCAAAAGGGGGATTGCTTTGTACATCTTACTTCGTATTTGTTTTTTGACCGGCCGATTTCATTAATTAGTACAATTTACTTGTAGAATTTAGGCAAATTGTATGATGTGTTAAATATTTACACCTAGAGTTAATACAAGATTCGTAATAGCTAGTTAAGGGATTTCCTTGAGTATCCACAACAATTATAAAAAAATATAAGTAGAGTTATTTCAGTCAAAATGTGAAAAAAACAAAATTCTTACTAATTTGTGAGATAAAGTCGTAGCTCAAGCCTTTATTTGATCAATATTCTGTGGACAGATCATTGTGAAAGTCACGGGATCTAATGGCTGCCGGGCTCTTCCATTGTACAGATTAAAATGAAAAATGTTGCTTCGAAAGGTTTCGTTATTTCCTTGAACCCAGAAGTATTATTTTTCTATATCTATCTACTGTACACTTGTCACCACTAGTAACCTAAGTAGTTTAATATTTTTTAAAAAGTGAGTGATATTTTGATACTTATTATTCCTTAGAAAATCAAAGCCAAAAACGTGATTTATTGGTTCTTCAAATGAACTTTTTTGTAACAATACTATTTTTTCTTCTAAATGTTTATAACTTTACATCTCAGAATGTGGATAAATATCGTTTATTTAATTACTTAATAAATTCAATTATTAATTTGCAATATTTAAATCAACATAAGAACAAAAGTAATGACGGAAGGCGTAATAATATTACTGCCATAAATCCATGCCTTTTTTCCTTATTCGAAAAACGAAAGAAATGGGAACCACAGCCTTATGAAATCTTGTATAAAGACTATTTTCCAATATAATATTTACGTATTCAAGATAACTCGTGCTCTTTTACCATTCCTTGTTTTATGATTATTTCACTGATATAAGAATATATTTAAAAGCAATAAACTTCGTTGGAAATTTATATAATCGATCTGTATGAAAACTCTCACAACTATACTCCTTGTAATTAAATTTAATTTGATATTAATATTTATCAACAGTGTGTAGAATTAACGTTTAGTTAAAAAATAAAGTCAACCATTTTCTGTATTCTTATAGTAAATGTATAGAATATATATTTATTAGAATAAAAAAAAAAACAGAAAGGAAAAGATGTCTTAAAGCGATATTAATGACCAATCGGATGGCGTTAGTAGGGATGGGATATCTGGTACGCCGTATGCGGGTGGCCGGACGTCCGGCGAAGCTCAACTCACAGACTTCATTTACTCCGAAATCTATTTAAATATATATCAAAGAACATTTCAGGACGAATACCGATTTGATGATATAACAATTCGTATAAAGGTTCCATCTCCAACGATCATATTTCATGTGAAGTATGACATGTTATTTCTTACGTGTATAAAAACTGTGAATGATTTCAAGGAATTGAGTTATGAAGTTTTTATAGTGGAAGGCGATAAAAGATAGGCTAAGCGAAATACGCATATTAGCTTGGTGGTAAGGATTGGTGGTCTTTATTAAAGATGCTGATAGAATAACCGTTGGAATATGGTATTTTTTATTGCTATTCGAAATATGTATCAAGTACCACATTGTTTCAGGCGCTGTGAATCGGTATCACTTTGAATGTAATTGTGCAATTAAATGCTCGCGCATTTTGCGAAATTGTCTCTTCATTGGCTGTTGGAAAGTAAGAGTGAAGTTGCGAATGTTTTAAATGATTTAACAAATTTTATTGATTGTCTATATACCAAAGCATAGAAGAAATTGGGTGATGGTGACCGCCAGCTGTGATTTCCGCCTATTTTTTAAATCAACATAGTTTCGGAGCAAATTTTTCTCGAACGAACTATTGGAAAATAAAATATACACATAAAAGTTAACGATCCCTTTGCTAGATTCTTCAGCTTTACAACTACAATGTATTCAATTTAAACAGGATTTCAATTCTCAAGTATCTATGTAAAATACGTTGAGCTTCTGTTCCAATATTGCATTGTTGCGAGTCTGAAGTTCAATGGATAGCAAAATTCCAAACAAAGCAAGTTGCTTCAGTATAAACTTATACGTCCCCAGTGGATGTGATTGGTAAAGTTTAGTTGCCTACGTAATTTTCTTATACATAGGACCTTTCGCAATCCGTAATTGGATTCCTAGACTATTATTGAAGTGGCATCAATGCTCGGTAAATTGTTAACCTTCTCAGAGATACGATTTTCAATCAGAACTGTCTTTGATCGCAGAGAGACATTAAGAACAAAGCGTGTTTAATTAAATGAAGCAAAAAGGTTTCCGACCTCTTTCTATTTTAGACCGAAATACGACTAGCTTATCGTGACTAGAAACATGCATAAATATTTTAATTAGAGTCATAAATTAGGTGTGTAGTATTTATATTCATTGTTGTTTTTTTACTATCACTTGTATGTTAGTAACGACTTGCCGCACGCGATGTACAAATTGAAAGTTTTATCATGATATCTTTAAAATCGATGTTAATTTAAATTGTAACAAAGAGAGGTCACACTCTACCATTCAATTGACTATCCCTACTAATGATATTCTAGACTAAAAATGAAATAAAATACCAGAATACTAGGATAGTCACGAAATTTGGTTGAATTATTAATGTTTTTTTCCGGTGCGTATAAATTTCCTTTGTTTTTTGTTGGAATGTGATCGAAGACAATATCGTTCTTGGCGATGTCGCCTGCTTGTTACCAATTGGAATCGATTCTAAGGATTTGTTTATTGTATTTCATCATTTTGGCATTACGTACATACAAATATATTTTTTAGAACATATATATAGTCCATGTATTATTTCCCTTACCTAAAGTTTCCTTCGACAGGAATTTTTTAAATATTTGAAACAGAAATAGTGAATTTTCAATGGTTTGACACCTGTACAATATATTGTTAGTTTTTTTTTCAAAGAACATAAGCGTGATTATAATAAATGTGTTATTCATTTGTTTTTAGCGTTACAGTTGCAATATGCACAGCTAAATAAACAGCATTGTGTATTCAAATCTTGTTTACATCTTTGTAAAGTAATTACTTTTATACTATTCGTGCACAAATCAAGAGTCAAAGTCGTAAAATGTCTAGCTAATATGTTTATTTAACTGTCTTGTAAGACAAGGGTTCAAGGATTGTCTTACTTTTAATTATTATTCATGTTACGCACAAAGCCTTCATTTGACGCAGTAAAGGCTTAAGTATTACTTGTTTTGGACTTACGTGAGGCCAAGGTTAATGTTACTTATAGCTTAATTGTTGCTTTTGA